CTTGGCTTGTGTGACAGCTGTTATATTCCAGAATACAATTCTAAAGGCTCAGCCAATTCCCAAAGTGAATATCCTTCATATTTCACAGTTGCTAGTTGGTAGAAATGGTATATGGAAAGGAGATTCACAAGCCAGCACTGCCATGCTTATGAACATTTCTTTTGTGTGCTAAAATTCCATGATTTTCTCTGAGATAAAAGGAAGTCTTCTCTCTTGTTTCCTTGCAGTCTTTTGAAATGTTTTCTTGGGCTTGTATGTAGAAAGTAACGGTGAACTTCTACTTCCAGTTGTTATTGCGCCTCTCCAGTTCTTGCAGTTGCTTTCTTAGTCCTCCTGCCCACTGTCTTCTAATAATGGTGAAAGTTCAAGTGGTTTTAGGCATGCACATTTAAAATTCCTATAACTTTAAATAAAAGCAAACTCATAATGATAGAAGTGTCACTAGGAATAAAACCTCAAATTCAGGTTCACCCATGCTTGTATCCTGGGACCTGACCTTTCACATACGAGGGAAGCAACTGGTGCCGATAACTGTTAAATTACAATAATGCATCTTATTTTATGAACTTTATAGCAAAGGAATGTCTCATTAAGGGCACTTTATCATATTAAACACTTCATATTATAGTCTGCTGTAAGGACATTTGTATTGTTTCACCCCTTTAAAAGACAAGTAAACAGCAGCTTCTCAGAGCTGTAAAACCACAGGAAGTGACTTTGCTCAAGAAAGCCTTGAGAGCCCAAAAGAAGATTTTGTAACATACTTAGAATGTGTTCTCTATGTAAATTTCCTAGAACACTTCTCAGAATTCACAAAAACCTGAAATTTGAATGGGAAATGTTCATAGCGGTGGGCGCTGTGTTCTGTATTTTCTGATCATGTGTTTAATGAGCTTATAAAAGGAAGAAGTCAATCAGCAATTTATTCCATAATAAGAATGTTAAAATATATTTTAGCTGTAAAAAAGTGTAAATTGTTAAAGAAGTGAATTGCAACTATGGTGTAAGGCTCTAGGGACACTACTAAATGTACTGGTAATTTCTGCTTGTGGATAAGTCTCTTAATTGTTTCCTTTTTCCTTCCTTGCTGTGGAGCTAGAGATAATCTTGAAATCCAAAAGGAGTCCCAAGTAAATCTGACTTCTTCTCAAATATTGAATTACAGTAGAACTTGAAAATTATGAGGAGACCTAGGAAATGAAAATACAGTATTAACTTTGATACTAGCCCCCCTTTTGGGAGACTTTCTGTAGTTGTAATTAAATACATTACCCAATTCTTCCTATAATTGTAAATATTAATGAGGATGCTTTAGCTGTCTTGAATTATGACTCACTGTAAACAAACCAATCTGTTTTGTTACATTGGTTATTCAATTGCCAGGGCATTAACACTGCTTGGTTGGCACTGAGTTACTCTGAAAGTTGTGCTACTGTTGCCCTTCCTACACTTCCACCTCAGCTGGTAAATGCAGTAAGAAACAGGCAGGACTGCTGTCTTAAAGGCACAACTTCTAATCAAAGTCACTGCCACTGGTTTATTTTTAGGTTTCCCAGCTCCAAAGATGTAGTATTATCTATGCCAGAATAATATTGTATAAGTAGACAGTCATGGATTGAAGGTCCAAAATGCAGTATAGCATTGTGTTGACCCTTCAGAATCATAGATCAGAGAACTGATTGCTTATAGCTTTAAGGGACTGTATTCAGACATCTGCTTATGTGTCACAAGCACTGCTTGACCAGAAAGTCAGAGGTCCCAGAGGTTGTGTGATCATTAAGTCGCTTTTCTTGGGAACTGGAATCATCAGAAGCTGCAAAGTCTATGTAAGCAACCTGAGAATAGCTCTTGTGTTTCCAGGAACTGGAAAGGAAGGTAAGAGGGCTTGAGATCAGTCCTGCATGTTTCAAGCCTTCCTTTCTTTACACAGCCTAAAAGTGCCCTTCTTCCCTTATAGCAGCCTTTGGTTTTGGTGGTTTTTTTTTTGTTTGTTTGTTTGTTTGGTTTTTTTTTAATTTAGCACGCAACTTCTGAGCAAAAATTTGACATAGATTGTGCATTTAATAATCATGGCAACTTCCTTCCCTTCTTCCAAATTCCTCCTCTGCAGGAGCTTTTACTGCAAACCTAGGAGAAACTAGTCAGCTGTTATCAGCTTGGGCCACTTGGAAAAGTTTATTTTTAAGACGTAATGCAGCTGTGTGCCAGATGTCACCATGGCTGCTCTTCCCAGCTGATATATTTGTTGATTTACTTATAGGCTCGAGGGACTGCTGTGTATGTAGAGGCAATGCTCATACCTTAATTTTGTTCATCCCTCAACAGATCTCAATGTAGTATAAGCATTATGTCCGATACAGTTTTTAGTACTATAAGCGGTCACTGAGATTACTATTATAGCTATTACCATCAGAAATTAAATCAATTCTTACTTTTAAGAGAATTTTAATGCTTCCAACTCAGTTCTTAGAAAGTCATTGTCAGCTCATGCAGTTTGAAATCATGAGGATTGAAGGCTGACTGGGGATTCAGTGCAGCACTTTGTGAGTCTTAGAGAATCTCCATTAAAGAGACTACATGAGAAATAAACTCCACTGGTCCCAGGAGTGGGAGGAAACTTAAGAATCTAAATGACTTTGTATCCTTAAGCAGGCCAGAATGTCTGGCTGCTACCCAGTCTGGATGAAACAGTTCAGCTAAGGTGAATCAGAACCACTGACCTGCTGCAGCTACACATGACTGCAGACCTGCTGCATTTTGGCAGGTGTTTCATTCTGGTCTGTGTCTCTGGAACATCCTTATTGCCTTATCAGGCTAGCAAAGCCAGAGTAGGGTTTTTCTTTATGAGATAGCAGTTATGTAGGTTTTTTCTTGATGAAACCCATTACAGATGTTTTCTGCAATTACGATCCCTACAGCCAGATGCTTGTGTGCTGTCTTGCTCTCTTGCTTGTCATGATACAGCGTCCTAGGAGGAATGTCTGAAAGAGATAACATAAAGAAGGAAACATCTCACAAAATGTGACGGTCTGTACTCCATGTTTCACAGAAGTGGCAGCTCACCCTAACTGAACTCTTCAGTCTGTCAGATGGAGAAGCCCATCCTTGCATGAGAACACAAGGCTAATCCCTGAGCATCCTCCTAAGAGCCTTTTTTGTGCAGTTAATAGTGCACGGTGCTCAAGATTTATGTTTTTGTCTCCGCAAGGCCTTTTATCTATCACACAGATGTCTGTATATGCACAAAAGCTTACAAAACATTAACAGTAAGGTATATACTATGTGTATATTTCACACATGCCTGCAAGGTCATATACATGTGCACATCTGCTGTAGGCTGATGCAAAAGCATGGCTTTCTAAAGAATGGGAAATGTCAAAGCAGTGTATGTATAAGAGGGCTGTCCTCAGAGATACGTGCTTGAAATGTCCTGCTGCTAGGTTTTTATGTCAAAGACTCTCAGTTAGAACTAACTTTTCTAAGTTTGGATCTCTGGACATTTGTTTGAGCCTGTTATTTCAGCTACTTAAAAGGAGCTTTGCTGTCACTGATTTCCATTTGAAGAACACTTTCTCATTCTGCATTTTCTGGGAGTAACAGACTTTAGAGTAGTATTTTTCTTAGTACATTAATTTGTATGATTGGAAAGAATTCACTCTAACTCATGAAACAATCTTGTAGTTCAACCATTTTGATTATTTTGTTGATGGATTTATTGCTTTGATGAGATTTATCTCCTGCTCTGTATAGAGAGAACATCCCATAGGAGGTAGCTAAATAACACTAATATCACAGTATTCCTGCAAAAATTCACAGACGTGGCTGCTGCCATTTCCTGAAGAAAGATACAAGGTGATCCACAGTATTTTTTACAAAGCTGTTCTGTTCTACATGGGAAGGGATAACTACCCAGTGACTTGCCTTTGACTAGAATAGTGAAGTTGTGTGGCCTCAGCAAATAGCTGTCCTAGATGCAGCAAAATCCGCTTTGATTCCTGCGTGTTTCCAAATATCCTAAGAAAGTGTAATGGAGACAAATCAAGTTCACCTTCTTTATCCAAGAAATCCCACAGACATGAATGGAACAGTTTGTGTGGTTATTTGACTTTCCAACTTAGTGCTGCTAATACTTAAGTTCACCTAATTTAGAAAATGTTATTAAATCATTTAATAACAGTGCAATATAATTATGGGATATTACTAGTATTAACTTCTCCAGGAAAAGGTAGAAGGTGGAAACCAGTTACCATTTCTTAACCTAAATTTATAGCTCCAAATTTGTCTCACTGTAACATTTAAAATAACTGTTACATAGAAAAAAGCATTGTATTTTCAAGCTGTCACCTCTTAGGCTGTTACACACCTGTGAGGACCAGGTTATGATGTAGGTTGAATCTGTAAGAAAAGAATGTGTTTTCCAGGTTGGCTTATGTTGTCTTATCCTGCATCTGAAGCTGTGCTATGTAGCAAAAGGGAACACAGCAACATGTGTATTTCCAGGATGGTTTTCACTAGTACCAATTTCAAAAGGAAAGGAGCTAATAATTAAATGCTCAAATATGGATCAGAATTTCCCATCCCTCAAAAAAAGGAGATGGAAAGGTTGGACTTCTATCATCAATGTGGCCTGAATTGATGTTCATGTCACATGGGACAAGGACAGGGAAGTTCCTGGTATGAATGTTGCTCCGATTCTTGAAGAACTTACACTTTGCAAAAGCTGGTAGCATTTGTTCATGGTTTAAAAGCTTGTTCTGGGGAAAACAAAAAAAAAAGAAGCTCTAACACTTCTACTTTGCCGTTTAAGTTAAATTTTAAATTTTACTTCTTTGGAAAGATTGAGAAATATTTAAAAAAAAATCTGCTTAATGTAAGCTAGAACAAGAAGGGCTGTTCTGTAATTAAGCCTGCTGAATTTGTATTCATTCACACTAATCTAATTATTACTTTCTTTGAATGCTCTGCTGTGAGTCAAAATAAGCTAGTGCTGGATCTGAGAACCACAGAATGAGAAAAGTAAGCAAAACCTGCAGAGATTTTTGTGTATCTTTTGAGTTTTATGAGACTATAGCAAACTTTGTGTAAAGAAATAACACTGCAAATGGATTTAAGAAGATTGCATGGTTCTGCTTTTCAGCATGCTTTCCATTGATTAATAATTGCAGATTAACCTGTGCTGCGCTAGTGCTTTCCGAGATTGAGGAATGGTGGAACATCAGTCTGTTTGTACATGAAACGAGCAGCAAGTCCATTAGCCAAAGGAACTAAAACTGAAACATTGCAACTCCATGGCACAATTTTTAAATGAAACATGATATTGTGTGGATTAAATTATTTTACATCTGTAAAGACATAGCAGCCAATTACTTCATTTTCAAAAGGAACTAATGTACATTCACAGTCACCATTCTGAAGAAAAGTATTCTGATTTGTAGTCCTGTGCTTGACAGTTATGCTTCTTGGCAACTAGCACATGCAGAAACATAAAACTAGAATAAGATATGTTCCTATTTAATTACTTTAAGTAGCCATTGTTCTTTGTATTACATAGCTTGGCAACAGGTAGGGCAAGTCTTGGTCTGTTGGCTGTTCAGTTTTGGCTATGGTATTGGAAATTGCAAAGATGGCAGTGGAGCATATATGAACATTTTTCAAATAGAAAGGCATGTTGGGAGCCTTCTAAATGTATTCACCAAAGGAGCCCCAGGCAAATGCTAAATTTCTCCACTGAACTCAAATTTTGCATGTGTAAGGCACACCAGTGGAAACTAATGTGTTTTATTACATATCTTGTATTTTCATGTGTTCCAGTTTTTTAGTCAAATCCTTCTCACTTCATTGCCAAGTATCCACAACTGTTGTTGTCCATGCTTGCATATAATCAGAATTATTCAAACCTGAACAGACAGTGACCTTTTCCTCTCTGCATTTGATGTATATTTTCACACTTGCACGTATTGTGGTAATGTCTAGATTAATTGCTGACTGAGAGGAAAACATCTTTACTTCACAGAACCATTTTGTTTGTGGCACACACAAAGCACACTGAACATGTAATATCTGATGTCAACACTCTTCTGTCACTTTATTGTATATATATATTCATGTATATTGAGAAGTTTATCTCAAAGATATGTAACACTTCAAATTACATTTTTAAATAATCTTTCTTTTTTAATATTAACATCTTAGAGATTTAATTTGAATTCGAGATGCTTAGAAAAAAAAATAGACTGAAACCTTGCTCTAATAACTTAGCTAAATAGCTCTATTTAATGGAACTATTTGTTATTGTTCTGTGCTTTATGCTGCACTGGAGGAGACACTGGCTGTGCCTTGAGCATTTTGCAGCAATAGGGCTTGATCCTGCATAGCATAATGGTGACTGGGCACAGTTTAAGTACAAGGTTAAAACTAACAGGCAGAATAAGGGAGCTCAGGGAAACTCCTGTGTAATTGAAAGTGTGGCTGGGCACTCCACTTAGAGCAGTGCCATAGCAGGAGTAAGGTCAGATAGTGGAGAGCATAAGTAAACACCTCATTCCTGTATTTTAAAAAATGTGCCTCTGCAGGCACTGCCATTTTTGCCACCATTTTTTAAACTCATTCTCAAGGAATAAAGGTTGGGGAGGGACAAGAGATTTGAACTCACATCTCTGAAATGCCTTGCAGTGTGCCTAGCACTTTACCTTGCAGCAATGCATGGCTAACAGGTGTTGAGGTTTAATTTGGAACCAAAAGCATTTTATTCAATCCAATCTGCCACAGGATTTGCAGGATTAAGACCTAAATAGATAAAGCATCTAAACTGAAGGGACAGGGACAGAGCACATTAGGAAGTGAAAGATGATTTGGTGTACTTCCACAGAACAACTCTATATTGGCCTCTAACAAAGGCTATTCTTTTTGTTGGCCTTTTTTTTTTTATTTCTTTGGTGACAGAAAAGTTACATTCTTAGCTCTCCCCTCGTCACCTGTAATATTAGCATGCCTGTTAAATTTCTGATGAGATGCTCACTGTAAGTTCACTTATGTATTGATACATTTATTATTGATTTTGGCATATTACAGCAGTGTACCATTGAAGATGATCTGGAGTAGCATGACAGCATGCAGAGCAATGAACTGTAGTTCACATGGAAGATTTGAGATGGACATTCCAGTTTGAAGTGAGACTTGATAACAATGGTTATGGGAGATGCTAATAAAAGCTCTTTGCTTTACAGTCCTCCAAGGAGGAGCGCTGGATAACGTCTACAGGCTGGCACAATTTCACATTCACTGGGGATCCTGTGAGGGCCAAGGGTCCGAGCACACCGTGGATGGTGTGAAGTATGATGCAGAGGTAGGACATGCTTTACCTTCTCCAGTCTTCTGTGTATAACAAATATTATGTTATCTGGTTAATATTCCACCACAGTAGCAACTTCTCTACCCATCTTCATAGGGTAAGAGACTGTGGAGGTTACCATAGAAGATTTTAGTACAATGCCATCCAAGACTTACTCCTTGCAAGAGCAGAGATTAGAATAAAATTAGAATTTTCTTAGCTACTTGTTGTCAAAGACTATAGAAGCAGAAAACCCCACATTAACTATCCCTGGTTTTCCCCTCCTTTCTCAGTGGCTCTTGAAAATCATGAAGAAATAGAATTTCAGCACCTATGTACACACACATTCCCTTTTCCTGTCTTCAATTTTTAACATCAGAGACATTTATATCAACAACAGAATAATTTGGGGAAAACCAATTAATCTTTTTGTAGCAAAGAAGCAAAGGGGAGCTGTGAAGAGGGCAGATAGCAAAGTGAGACCTTGCAGGCACTCTTTCTAATATCCTTGATACTCCAGATGTCCCTTGGACTGTTCAAGACTCTTTATTACAGCTGCACTACAGAAAAGGAGTGACTTTAGAGCCTTGCATCCCACTTTTTCTTGTCCCTTGTTTAGAAATCTACCTCTGGATGCTGTGACAGACTTTAACCCTTTCATAAATACACATTGACTGAACATACCTGTGATTTACGTTGAAAGATAAAAGAAATGGCCCCACAAATTCATTGTCTCTGATGCTTTTCATGAGATAGAAGCTTTTGTCTTATCTGAGAAACTTGCCACTGCCTCTGTTCACAGTACCATAATTACTCACTCAACTCAACTTCCAGATGTGGGGAAACAGCCAGATGAACTTAAATTAGAAACAACTTGGAAATTAAAAAGAAAGCAACGTCTTGGCTAGTGTGACCTGGAGCTTCATTTCATATTCTTTTCAAAGGCTTTTCAGAAAAGGACAGGACTGTTTTTTAAAAACTCCCTAATTGCAGGTCAGATCTGTAGTTACTGTGTTTTCTGTGGTTCTTTGACACTGACAATCGTGTATTTCAGTGATGGTTAGAACTCCAGCATATATAGCATTAAAATACTACATCAAAATTCTGCAGACTGCATGCAGGAAAAGCTCATGCTGAAGATAACAGGAGTTTCACTGGACTAAAATCAGAACGATACAACCACAGTTTGCATTTAAAACTCATCTGGGAATAAAAGTGAGAAGCAAAATAAAATGCATGACAGAAATCTCTTTTCATAAATGAAACTTGAAAGTAGATGAATGGTTCAAGAAAATCTTAACTGCACACAAAATTTTTAAATCTCAGCAGTAAAATGCCATCTGTTCTTAATGTTTAACAAATTACTTCCCTGCATCCTCATCTGTAAAATATTGTGGATGGAATATTATCTTCATAGTGCTCCTTTGTTTTCTTGTTCCTAGCTCCATATTGTTCACTGGAATGTAAAATATGGTAAATTTGCTGAAGCTGTGAAGCATCCTGATGGTCTGGCTGTGGTAGGCATCTTCATGAAGGTTAGTTAACCTTTTTCTTTTGTATTAATTGGATGAGTCCAGTATGTTTATTGTGTTGCAGAGGGATCTAAGAGCCTAAAATACAGAAAAATGCAGCATTATGCTACACTGCCTAAACCCATAGCAAATTGGGTGGTGCTTCAAATTCTTGGCTTCCTGTACATATAAAAATTGTATACCAGCCATGGAGTATGACTGCCATTCATCACTGTGACAGCCCTGTAACAGCATATTTGGCTTCATCACAACAGTGACACTGCCATAACTCTTATCAATGAAAAGTGGTACGCATAGCTGACAAAGTTATGTGTGTGTGAATGTGAATCTGCAGTAGGACCAGCCTAAATAACACCTATTTTCCTTTTCCTGTCACTGTTAAATGTCCAGAGCATTTTGTAGTAGTTGAATTATCTTCACAGCTGGTTGGAGAAGATGACTGTGCCCCAGCAGTTTGTATTCCATCCTGGCCTCATGGTTTTTCATTAGGAGGGTGACTTCTGTGAAAAAATAACAGCTGAAGTCCAAAAATAAATCCACACACTGTAAATGAAAATCACTTTTTCTGTCCAGTGTCCTTGGCTGACCCATTTGTGCTGACTGTCAGCTGGCATGATTTTATAGTCACTTTTGCTGTAGTACTCCTGTTATGTAATGAGATGGTGCTGGGAAGATGTTTCCTTGGGAACTGCAACAGGAAACTAAACGTATCTTGAGAGTGCATGGTTATTTTCTTCTCATATGATTTGTGTTACAGGTGGGAAATGCCAAGCCTGAAATACAGAAAGTTGTGGATGCTCTGAACTCCATTCAAACCAAGGTAATATTTGCTGTCTGTGTTGTTGACACCAATCACAACTATGCTGTGTTGTCTTCTTCAGAAAGTGGATTTTTTACTTCTTAGTCTGCTGCATGTATGAAAGTAAAACAAACCTTCCTTCCACCAGTACTGATGCTCCTGTAATCCTAAATGCAAAAGGGATTTGAATAAATTTGTGATAGAGGGCAGAGAGTACTAGAAACAGTGATAATTTTGTACCTCTGACTACATTTCTCTCATTTAACTGCATTTAAACCTATAGGGTAGGATTCATCTTACTAATCTAAACTACTCTAGCAGATGTCCTTTCTAGACAGTGACAGATGGAAAAGGCACTTCCCCTCATCTCTGCATATGTGGGATAAATTTCATTCCTACAAGAGGTCATGCTTCTCTTGGCTATTTCAACAGAGACTCCACATAAGAAGTTTGATCAGGATATATAACTCTTATGAAAAAAGCTTTTCTGTATTTTGAATATTGTGTGAAGTGTGTGTGTGATCTTAATGAGCTGGATAATGGGAAACTAAAAGTACTTACTGAGCAATTGGGTACCTTCATAGTGAGTAAAGTTCTGTGGAAATGAGAAATGTGGACAGGAAAGGAGGCTACGCTGTCATCTTTGTTATCAGGCTTCCTTTGAGGTAAATGGATATTGCCATTTACTTCAATGGACTCTCCAAACAAATCTCTCAGGTTCTGTTTCCAGTGCAGTCAGTGTTCCTGGCATCTGAAGTCTCATTGTTGCTTCAAACAGAATCAAATTATGTCTCTAGAAGTAAAGAAAGTAAATTCAGCATTTGACAAGAGAAACAATGTCTTGAAAGTCTTAAAAGAAATGTATTGCTGAAAGTCTTTAATCCCAAATGTATTGTGGGACACACTCAACACTTCATGCCAAACTCCATTTCTGCCTTTCTCCAAACATGGAGCTTCCCACAGGAAACTTCACTACTGCAAGCCCAGTATGTCTTGTGATCTCTCTCCTGACATTAGCCCATTTACTTTCTTTACTGTAGGGCAAGCAAGCTTACTTCACCCTGTAGGGAACGCAAGCTTCCTGCACAAACTTTGACCCCACTGGACTGCTTCCTGCATGCAGAGACTACTGGACATACCCTGGTTCACTGACCACTCCTCCACTGCTGGAGTGTGTGATATGGCACGTTCTGAAGGAGCCCATCACCGTTAGCCCTGAGCAGGTAGGTCTACAAAGGATGGTGCCAGTAGATACATACAGGCATCTTATTGATTGCCTTAGCCCAGCCCTCCGGGTGATCTTTGAAGTGGCAGTTTATGTTACTGCAGAGCTATACAGGGTATTAGCTAGCATCACATGTCAAAAATATATATCTGAAGTAGTTATCCCCTTCTGGCAGAACTCTGCTGCTATGTGTAGAAGTAGAGTTTGCTGTAAAATGTAAGGCTGTCCTCCATTTGGGCACAGTCCAGGAAAAATTTGCAGGGAGAGAGGGGGAAGAGGGAGTGGTTAAAAATTTAATCAGTGTTTCCAGATATTTTCAGATATTTAATCAGGATTTCCAGAAAATTTTCCAATTTTCCCAGATTTTCACCACATGAACTAGAGCTGTCATGTGGTAGAAATCTGGGAAAATTGTAGCATGCATGAAAGGATCATTTGCATATGCAGAGTTAGTCTAGCATATGTTAGTGAGCATCAGCAGGTTTGCTGTTCATGCAAACATCACCCATCTGGGTATACTTGCCCTGAAAATACCAAGCATTTACAAGCATGCATCTCACACCGTAGATCTATAGTTAGTTTGTTGATCTTCCAGCATTTCCAAGACACAGAGCTCATTTTACAAACTCTATTCAGCACAGAACAGAGTTAGGAAATCCCACGCAGAATTGTGACAATCGTAACAAAACTACATTGTTTGGAAGAGGCAAAACCTGCAGATTCCAGAAGTCTGAAAAAATCCTTTACTTTGTTGAGCAGCTTGAGGAGGATTAGAGTCTTCCTAGTAGGAAGGAACTCATGCAGATTAAATCACTCCTGGCCTTAGTGTTTTGCACCATCCATTAGTGAAACTACATAGAGGCAAGATTCCATCCTCAGTTCACATCTGTGAGCTTGGGAGATATAAATAGAACTTACAGCCTATAAATATAAACCAGCCATGAAGGGCGTTAGTTTACTCTTCAAGCTCTTAAATCCTTTTTATCAATGGCAGACATGCTAACAATATACTCATAATTTATTCAGCTGATGTTACAAAAGTGCAACTGAGCTGTTGTAGGACTTAAGGTAATAAAAACAGAATAAATGACAAAAACTATCAGAAATAATAATTATAGCAATGATTACAATTAAACTGCAAGGGAGCATTAAAGTTGACACTGTTTACTTGTTCTAAACTACTGGTATTGCTATTGATAATTCAAAGTTTGTAAATATGGTTTTATTACAGGGCAAGAGCACATTCACCAAAATAGGGTTGTTTTTCCTACTACACCTACTTTAACCACCTATGAATGGTAAAAGATACCACTCATTTCTCCCATACACACCCCTCCATATTACCATCGACATTTCAAAGATGGATTTGAGATCAAAGCAGTGTGTGTCGGCAGCAGCTTGCCTCTTCATTCCAAAACTGATCAAAACAAGAAACCATAAAGCAGAGTATTGACACTGGGTTTAAGTTGAATTGGTTTTTCGAAGATAGGCAAAAGCTGGATATTACAGCAGGGCATAGCGAGCCCCGTTATCATTTGCTGTAGTGACACAGCAGTTCCTGGCACAGGTTTAGCTCCAAACTTTGTTCTGGTTGGTCCTGAAGGTAAAGTCCTCTCCTGGGCTAATCACTGCTAGGGGCCTTCCTCCTTGAATGAAGGAAAGCCTGGCCTGCAGGAAAGCCAGACTTGTATGAAATCCTGTATAATACTTACGTATTTCTGTCAGCAGTTCCGGCTGTCTGTATGAGATCACATTTGAGGTGGGTTGTTATTTTGTCACAGTCTTTGTACTAGTTTTGGAGACGCCCACTAAGACAAAAAGGTACTTTTATTATATCAGACTGTGCAAACACCACTTGTGCTTTAGGAACAAACACTGAAACTTTACAGTATGCTCCCACTGATATGGATCAGTTTTTGCCTCTCACAGTATGTGAAAATCAAGATATGTTTAATGAATTTGGCTGCTTTAATTTGACCCAAGGGTAAAGTTGTGGGGTTTCCCCCCACAGTTGGATTAAAAAAATCCAATTTTCAAAAGACCTAAAACTGTTCAACTTGCAAAGTATTCTGAAAGGGTGTCAATTCAGACCTGGATCAAGGACAAACAACTTGTGCACAAAGTTCAGAAATTGTGTGCCTTCATCCTTGTCTTCTGTGTGTTCTTATTTGTTCTTGCAAGGGTATTTTGTGGGCAGGAGACCCTGTGTTAGGGGCAGGAAATGGAGTGGATGAAATACAGAGACACATGGGTGGTGACACCATCTCTAGACCACTAGTGCCGCTGAAACTTTGAGTTGGACCTCTGGCTTGGGCCCAAGGTGTACAATTCAGAAAGTCCTGCTCAAACAAGAGTATGCATTTGAGGATGTTTGTGCCTTTTTCCACAGATGTGTAAAATCCGTGGCCTTTGCTTCAATGCTGAGAATGAGCCTGTGTGCCATATGGTGGACAACTGGCGCCCATGTCAGCCTTTGAAGAGCAGGGAAGTCAGAGCTTCCTTCCAGTAACCTCAGCGCTGAGTGTGTTAGAAATGGCTGTGTTTGTGAGGAGCCCTTTTTGCTAAGCCCAAATCAAACCTTTGCCATGTGTGCTCTGGCAGCATCTTTTCTCCCAAATCCATTCTTTCTTTCGCTCTGCATCTGAAATGCCAGCTAATAAAATGTGAAAGGCTCTTGGCCAAATAGGAAAGGGTTCTTAAGGTGTGGGGTTGGGAAAGCATGGTGGGGGGTGGCTGTGTGTGTTTTGGTGACTATTGCTGCGACTGACACTTTGGTGTAACAACCAGTATGTTGGCTAGTTAGGGGAGGATATGGTGGTAGTAGCAAAATAAGCCATTTTAAGAAACCTCATCCTCTGGTGTGATAGTACACATAACTAACGATAACTTGAAGCTTTGTGAAAAGCACAGGAATACAGAATCTAGGTATAATTTAGGAAAAAAGTATTTTGAGAAAGTAAAGCAAAATAAATATTGAGAATTAGACTTACTAGATTTTAAGAAACTGACATGTAAATATTTTTTCAGACCATTTTACATTTTTACCCATGCTATCAACAACCTTGATTGTCTTAATGGTAGTGTTGGATTTTTTTAATTAAAAATGTCTTAAATTAAGTATTAAGTTTAAAAGTTGTTATTACCATAGAAGTAATACAAAATATCTTTTCACTGAAATAATATATGCTCTAATTTAAGGAGGCAAATAATATTGTATTTTAGATAACTTCTCTAATAAATCTATACTTATATTTTTGCTTCCATGTTGTTATTTTAATTTGGGAAAAGAGTCACTAATCTGCTTGCATCACTGCATATTAAACATAATTACTAAACATATCATATATTGGGAATGGGTTTCAATGACACTAAAGATGAATGCAAACCTATATGGATATGTTAGAAAATTTTCTGTAAGTAACTCTCTGATAGACAGCAAAAAGTCTCTCTTTCTGCTTTATAACAGCAGAAAGAGCTGTTAGTTTTGAGCAATCACTACAGATTATCATCAAAGTTGACTCCATAGTACAAGATCCCCTCACAAGTATTTCGAACAAAATTGTACTGAAGAATGGGCTTCTCCAGCCTGGTTGTTTAAACATTGTCCGTATGTAACAGCCCAAAAGCAAGGTGACTCATCTTTATTCAGAACATCTATTCAATCTGTTTGGTCCAACTAGACCAAATCTTTCAAGACTCTGTCCCCAGCGTTTGTTTTTCAGCCTCACAGTATCGTATCATGTGAATGATTTCAACAGAAGATGTTTGCGACATAAATACTGCTCAACAGAAAATAGCTTCCAATAACTTCCATTGCTGGATCCTTACTAGCTGATTTCTTGTGTTTTCATGAACACAGATGCAATAGATACCTAAATATAAATCTGTTCTAAATAAGGAGGATCCAAAGAATACCATAAGGAGCTATCCTCATTCTCAGGCTCCTGTTTTGAGAAAAGCCATCTTGAAATCTGTCATCTCATTGGATTCTGCTCCTAGTTTTTAAGGCAATTTGTTATGAGCTTCCTACACCATCAGGTATCACTTTGTAATTTATAAGATACCAGTTGGGCAGGTTAGGTTCTGGAACTCCTGGGATCTTGAAATGGGTGAGATGGGAATAAAGCCTCCTCATGAGCACATATAAACATCTTAAGAAAACTATCAAATCTCCCCCTTTTGAAAGCTTCCCCATTTACATCCTCTTGCCACCACCCCACCCCCCCAAAAAAAAAACAACCAACCAAAACCCCAAAACCAGATCAGGAAAACAACATGTTCCTTTGCCACAGGTAATTTATTTTAAGGTCAGCTTTTCTGAATGGAGCTGCAAAGGTACTTGTCTCTTCCTACAATACCTATGCTGACTAATTCAGGTTCTTCATGTTGAGTGGTTTGAATGTTTCTGACTCTGTCATCCTCAGGCCTGAGTGCTACCCACATGTCCCCTAAACAATGCAAGGGAGGTTGCATCTCTAAAATTAGAGATGCAGTACATTGAGACTTAAAGGTACTGATGCCAGCCAAGAGGGTAAGCTTTACAGAATCACAGGATGGCTGAAGCTAGAAGGGACCTCTGGAGCTAGTCTAGTCCAACCCTTCTGGTCAAGCAGGTTGCCCAGGACCATGCACAGGTGGTATAAGTCTCCAAGGATAAGGACTTAGGGGCTTATCACCCACTTATTAATAGTAGCATCCTTTTGCTGAAGCTGAAGCGAAGTGCTTGTTAGTCAAAACAGTAAACTTCTTTCCTGGAATTATGTATATGTGCCAGAACTTGCCCTCAAAGGTGGCAACTTTGCTCTTTGCATAATGATTGCATGTTCTGGCACTCCTAAAATTAAAAAATAAGACCCCCAGGTCTTCAGATATAAAACTTGTATCTTGACGACTGTGATAGCCTGACTACTAGGTGATAAGACTTTCTGAGAAGTGACAATCTCATTAGTACCTGTACAGCTCAAATAGTATCCAAGCTGGTACGTGACAGAGAATTTGAACTTCTCTCTAGTGGCTAGGGTAAAATCCTGGAAACACCTGTGAAGTTCTAACAACTGCTGCAATAAAAAATTTCATACCTCTTACTCCATTGTAATTCAAGGCTGCTCCATAAATAATAAGTAACAGCAAAGACAACCAACATTAGCCATACATTTATCATCTTGTTTGCACGAGCCTCTTTACCTGGAATGTTGCTAATGCCATGTTTGCGTTTGATGAATATGAAGTACTTTTGTGTTAAGCCAGACAACGCAAGCTGGTGTTTGTAAGTCATATACATGGTGTACAGGAAGAGCCCGCTGTATGTCTTAACCTGGGCAGTCTAGCAGGGAACAAAAAATCCTCACAAAAAAAAAACCCCTTTCCAGCATAAAATGGTGTGTGGGCTTATCACAAATTCGCATGTTGCAGTTAGGTTCTTGTGCAATGGATAGCCTTTTCAAGGAAGACATATGTATTAAGGCCAACAGAGAAATTAAGATAATTTCCCTGGCATTCATGATTCATTTTCTGAATGGTCAGTTCAGTTAAGATAAAGGTGGATAGAATCACTTAGTTTGTATTCCTGACCTCTATTATCCCTCACTATTAGCTTATATGAAAAGTTATAATTAGGTCTTACAATTGTTCTACAGCAGACTTAAAATGACACCTATTCTAATATCGCACTCTGACCTGTTTCAACTGGAAATATATAAGTTCATACTGAAAAAAAGAGACCACTTTGATCATGGAACTGAAGATGATCCACTGCAGGTAATTGTGTTAATGTCAAGTAGGCAGCCCTAATTAAAGGGAAATTTATTTAGAAGAAAAAAAAAAGAAAAGAAAGAAGGCTAGTGTGTTAATTTGAAGTCGTCATAAGATACTCAGCCAGCACTTCAATGGGGGAAAGAGAGAAGCGCATTTACTTGCAAACTGTTCATTTTGCACAGTTTGTGATCTTGTCTCGCACTTGTCTGCCAACTCCATGTGTTAGAACATTTTATGATTTCACCACTGCTATTTCTAAGGGTTGGTTGTGTCCTAGATTGACTTGGGCGGGTAGACTGTGATTAGAGATGTTCCCTGGGAGATTAGATAATAATGCCCTACATGGATTCAGCAATATTTATAGAAGTCCAGATAGTTTATAGAAGAGTATCGCTCACTAAATGACAGCTTTAGGATTTTTTAACTCTTCAAAGAAAAGCCCTGCAAGCAACAGCTGTGTCAGATCTAATATTTTAGAAACAAGCAGTGATGAAAGTGCAGACAGTGGCTTTACTGAAAAATTCCCATGTACCGTCTAACGTCAGCCACTTCCTCTTCCAAACCACAGCTTCTCATACAGTCATGTAGCATGTGGTGACAGTTGCTTACACTGAGTGTCTGTCATATTTTAAGTCTATGTTGGCAGCTGGATGCCGCAGTGCTGTCCCTGTTCCTCTTTCAGTAATGATGGTAAGGGGCTCTGCTGCCTCAATGCCAACCCCAGCCACCACCTTCCTAAAGTCGGTGCAACAGGCATGAGTTCAAAGCCATTATGGATCCATACCAAACAGAGAGAGGTACAACAGTGAAACTTTTCAGGGATCCCTGACTAATTTTACACCACAAGTCTCACTACTTTTATATCCAAGCCACAAACCAAAGCCATTAGGGTATGTCCCCAGCCTAGTGTGGATCACAATGTAGCGATTCTCCAAGCTCTTCTGTTCATCCAACATCGAGCCCTTCAGGAAGCTCACTGTAGTTCAGAGCTCAAAGCAACATAGTTATGTTGCCTGAGCTGATGGACCCAGATTCTCAGCAGGGCTTCGTGCTAACATGATGTAGCTGTGTTGCTCCTAATCCCAGAATAGAGGCAGTTTTGTCCAGTGGGAATGTCAATGCACTGCAGCATATCAAACAATAAAATGTTATCCTCAGGACATTTTGAAAAAGGCAATCTATAAGCCCTGTTTTTTATAATCTTGTATATCATGAGGCATTGCATTTATGTAAGACAAGAGGCAGTCACTACTATTTTGAACCCACACCCTGAAACAGAAAAGAAATGCATTGAGACAATATGCAATAAACAAGTAATTAGAGCAGACAGGTGGATAATAACTATATATTTTTCCTGAGCCTTGTAACATCACTTAGTATTCAAGGACCTGGAACATTTTCTGAGAAGTACTGTCCACCTTCTGTCTTGGAAGCCCCAAGATCAAACAGGGAAAAGCAGGCTGGTGTAAGAACTGATGGGATCTTCTCTCCCTCTCTGGTCCACAGCTGGCTGTCCTGCAGTGCACCTAGGCACAGAAGGACAGTGGAGTGCCCTTTCCAATGCAAAAGATGAAGAATAGCAAATGATCCTGGTTATGCAAAACTGTGTAGCAGCAGAATACTTTTATGGAGTTACTCAAAGGCCAGGGAAGAACTTGCTCTTTCTTCTACCTAAATTCCTCTTCAACCAGCTAACTCAAGCTTGATACAAGAACATGAGACCATTTCATAGGATGATACTCACACCAGGTGATAGAGGATGTTGTAATTTGGATGATGCACCTCTTCACAACTTTAGTATTTTTATTTCTTTCAAAAGTCACTATAAATGGTCTAATTGCATTATTCTCAAATAACAGTCTCAAATAATATACCCCTTGAATCAAATTGAAATCCATAAGGCCCTATATACTTGCACTGAACATATCTTTTGTTTTTAGTGATTAATCACCATGCCCTGAGAAGAAAGATAGAAATATTAAAGAAAACAAGAGCAGCATTTTGCAGGGTAAAAAAAGTAATAAAAACAAGGCTTGAAAAATAAAATACCCACCTCACTCAGAATCTGTTCCTGGAGACGTTTGAAAGGACAGCATTTTGCAGATAAGCTTAAAAGAGGGTGGTAAACATAATTTCCTCCTACTCTCTGTAAACTGCATCAGACTGTCTTAAATACTTTCTGACTAGTAATGGAAATCGTGCTCAGACAGCATTTTGATATTTAGAGGCCTAAACAAGCACTCAATGAATGATAAAGCCTACAGATATAAAATGCAGTAATCCCAGAATGAGTAAAATGCACCTGCTGTCACTTTTTAACTATCATCTGCTGCTCTGCATTTCCTGTTGTTCTCTCCATCTGCAGAAGAACTCCTCACATCATCAAGGATGTGAGGGAAACAATATGAAAAAATAGGGCCTGATCATGAAAACTCTGATGGGGCAAATCACTGACATGAGTAATCCCGTCCATTAATCGAAGTTCAATTGTTTT